CCCCCGAGCGGGCCGAATATTCGCTGCTGATTACTACCGAATATCCGGAGCCCGAAAAATTGTATTCGGGACAGCCCCAAAACACACCCACGTCCTTACCATTACTTCATTAACACCAAGCATGCGTCTGTCTCTCTCCACAGTAAAGCCGCTGACCTGGAGGAGGAGCTGAAAAATGTGACCAACAACCTGAAGTCCTTAGAAGCCCAGTCTGAGAAGGTGAGTGTTTCCTGTGAGGGATGAGCATGGCTACGACTGGACCATGAAACTGAAATATACAGCTATAAGTAACACTTCTTCTTTTGGCTTCACGAGGGAACAGATCAGTTTTTGGGTGAAGCAAACCTAAATTATTTTCATTTCATTTCATTTCAAACCTTTATTTAGACAGATTGGTCCCTTGAGATCATCGATCTCATTTACAAGGGAGACCTGCATCATTTAGTTCCACATGAAACATAAAAACAACATACAAACAAACAACAGTTTGTTTGTATGTTGTTTTTATGTTTCATGTGGAACTAAATGATGCAGGTCTCCCTTGTAAATGAGATCGATGATCTCAAGGGACCAATCTGTCTNCACACACACACACACACACACACACACACACACACACACACACACACACACACACACCTCCCTCCCTGTGAGGAGCGATATGTAGAGAGGGAGGCGGAGGTGTTGCCGGCCTGGGAACAGCCTGTGCTGCGATGTGAGGAGGCCTGACTGAACTGAACTGAGCTGGCGTGTGTTGCTGCTACAGAGCGGTCATGAGGCGGCTGGCATGCTGTCACACTGCCTGTCCGTGCCTGGGAGGAATTTAACGTAGCGAACAGGAGGAATGTGCTGCAGGTCTCGACTGGCTGCTGGTTCACTCCCTGAATATGCTAAGAAACGGCCTCAGGGGCTCATGCTGCGCTAATGAGCCTTGGATTGCTGTTTGTTTTTTACTTGTGTGATTTTCTTTGATAAGTAATCCAAGATGATGTTAAATTGTTCTGCAGCATTCCTACAATTCAAGCAAGTTAGATTCAAAACTTTTTTAAGGCCGCTTTATTACAATTTAAGATAACACATTTTGCTCGATATTTCCCCCCTATCTGGATCTCTGCCACATTAATGTGAGAGCAATTTTGTAAATTGTTTAAATAATGTTTCCAATTATTTTTAAGATTTTATAAAAGCACAATCAGGTAAAACAATAAAATCCTCCTTTCTGTGTCTTAGCATTTTAAGACTTTTGAAATATTTATTAGAAACATTTCAAACACCAATTGAGATGGTATTTTTTAAGAATAAGTCCAATTAATGTTAAGGCTTTTTATGGGCCCGTGGGAACCCTGTGCATATGATGTTAAATAATTATTGCTGTTCAAACAGCTGCGGTCTGTCACTTGATACGTTGAGTTTTCTTTTTATCTAAACAACGTGATGGGAAAATAAATAGTTGCGTTGTAGGCAGGGCCGGATGATTCAGTTATAATTGAGGAAGTGTGAACCAATACTTTGGTGAAGAGGTATCACTCCCTGCTCCCTTAATGACTGTCCACTGAGCCCTGAGAGCAGCTTCTTCAATGAAGGAGGCAGCGAAGAGGAGAGGAGTCATGTTCAGTGTAAATGCTGTTATATATATATATATATTTAGGCCGTTCATTCATAAAGGAGAACCAAAGTGACTAATTGTATTTATTAAACAGTCAGCATTTTTATATATTTGTTGAACTGAAACTTGTTATTCTTGGAGTTGCAGAGAACTGAGAAACACCAAAGCTTATTTGTGCAATGTTAGCATGAATACATGTTAGCGTTTGTTTTAACTTTGCTTTTGTGTGTTTACAATATCCAGGAATCCTGAAGTCAAATGTAAAACCTTTTAAGACCTTTTTTAAGACCCTTCCCATACATTTTAAGACCTCATCGCCACTTGGAGTTCTAACCGGTTACCTTGGCGACGCACTTTACCTCACATTGACTATATACAGTATTGATTGTCCTTCCTCCTTATCTTCCAACCATTTGGACGCAGACTTGCATTTCCCCATAACGATGTTGTTTAACAACCGGGGTAAACGGACCTTTGCGCGCTATCAAGCAGTGAGCGTGCGATGTCCTGTTCAGATGACGTCAAATCCAACGGGATGCCATAAATAAACTTTTCAATTTATATACTTATTGAAAACAAGCTACAAAATGTAACACCTTGGAAAATGCCGTTTAATTTTCACTAAATTGATTTATCAACTTTTAATACTTTTTAAGACCCTGCAGACACCCTGAGTATTGCAAACAGTTGAGATAACTTTATCAAATATAAAAACTAGGGCCGGGACTCGATTAAAAAAATTAATCTAATTAATTACAGGCTTTGTAATTAATTAATCGCAATTAATCGCATTTTTAATCGCATATAAATATTTGACCTGAGAACAGTGAGAAGCAATTTTTTTCACATGGATTTTAGTATACCATTGAATAAT